GATCGGGATAGAGGTGGTATTGGGTTTAGATGTGTGGTGTGCAGGTGTTGAGTTGCATGTGTATATAGGGTTGGTATAGCTGCTGTAAATTAAAGAGTTGGGTAAGTGAACATTACTGGTGTGTGTGTGTGTGTGTGCTAAAGTGTTAGTGTGTGTCAGATGGAGAGACGCATGTAGGTTCTGTATACAGGTTAAAAGTATAGGAGGGCCTCAGGACAATGTTGTATAGTAAGAACAGGGTGATATTGTTCTTGAGTTGATTGCATTGAGGGGACGCTGATATTAGTTGTCGCTACCTATAATGAGTAAGTTGATCGCCGATAGTGGTGATAGTAGGGAGACTCCGATGAGCAAGGGGTTAGGTAGTCGATATTTGTGACAGGAGAAAATGGTATTTGTGTGTGTGTGTGGCCTGTTAGGGGTCGAGAGATATAAAGTTCATTGATGGTCGTCGATATTGGTGACGGATGAGAGCATTTGTACGGTTGAGTGGCCTAACCCGGGTCGAGAGGGGGGTGACGTCGGGGGATGGTAAGTATTATTTAAAATACCGGGGGATAAGTATTAGTCCCGTATAGTTCCATGGTAGTAAGAAGGTATGACTTAGGATACGAAGAGATAATACATATAGAAATACCGGGTTTCATATTATTGTATATGATACTTGTAACTTAATTTTTACTATACTGGGTTATATATACTCACTCTTTATTATTCATAGATGAAATATGGATGGAGTTGGGATCGTAGTTGCTAGTGTCCGAGCGTAGCGTATAGAGCAACAATGCAATGATTTTTATTGGCAGAATTGAGTGTGTAAAAGTTAGTAGTAGTGTAGATTGTGTGTCTGCTAGAAGTGTATAAGGTTGTATTTCACTGTGATGTCACATGTATGGTTGTAGGTTTATCTTTGACTTTGAACAATAGATTGTGGTAGTGTTTCTATGTGTGCGACTGATTTAGAATGAAATTTTATTATTTGCTCATTAAACTGTTTTAGACTATGTTGTTAAGAGAAAAAAAAAAAAAACGGGGCGTTACATGCAATGATCAAATTTGATTAAATTTTAGTAAGTCTATTTTATTATATTTTTATGTAAAATGAACCTTACGTAACAGTTAAGTTTATTTAATTATGATAGTCATAATTAATTAAAAATTATATTTAATTATTTTATTTATATATAAAATTAGCTACATATGAGTATTATAATATATTTTATTATCATTATATATGATATAATATATGTCGAGAACTTAAATTGATAATACTACAACGATTTTTTTCTTTTTTTCTTCTTTTAAATAAATTCAACCGACGGAATTTTGTAGTTAGAAAGTAGAAATAGTAAATTCAAACAATTATATTCCCATACATGCCAATGTATACGTATAAATAATTAATGGCCAAAAGTTATTGAATACTTCCAAATTCATATGATAATTTCTCTTACGTTTACCCCAAAAAATCATATTTTATTTCATGTTAATATTTAACGATTACATACATATTTATGTACAACAACTTATAGATCATAACTAAAAATATTATAATTTTAAACAATAATAATAATAATAATACCATTAGTGTGTATGAGTAGGTGAATAATAAATGTTAGAGCAGCTAATTTGCTAAAAAATTAATTGAAAGGTAGTTGGTTGAGTCCATATGACTCTTATTAAGTGGGTTAATTGAATTAGTCCATAATTCACATTGTATTTTACTAATTACGTGTTTAATTAACTTAATTAATTATTAACATAATATTACGTGTAACAATCCACAAAAAAAACAGTATTGCTTAAATTAATTATCAGCAATGGCACATCAGAAGTTGTTAGTCCGGTAAGAGGCCTCAATCACAATTATTTTAATTTAATTTTATATTTGGATGAATTTGAATTTATTCACTTGTAATTATAAAGTTATTTAAATATTTATTTCTTCGTATTTACTATCGAGACTTATAAATTGAATTAATTAAAATTAAAAATTTATAATGAAAATGAAGATTAATTTGATAAAAAATAACTTTTTTTTTGTTACATTTTATTTTGATAATTATAATCTATTAAATTATATTATATGTATTACGTACCAATACCCAATCTCTCTCAAATTTATGGAAATTTTTTTTTATAGCCCTTAAATTAATTTTTATATATCAAACAAAGTTTTTATCTAATTTGAGTATAAACGGGTAATTCATGTCATCATTAAAATATCTATAATATATCATAATATATATTGTTACATAATTATGACGTAAAATAATTTAATTTAAAAATTTTAATTATAAATATAAAATTTAAAGTAATAATAAAGATACTTAGAGTACTAAAATTCATGTGATTTAAATGTGGAGAATTTGGGATGTATTTAAATAAGGTAAGTGGAATTGTTACTCAATTGGTCAATAGATACAAAAAAAAATTAAAATTAAAGGAAGATATAGTTATATAATTAATTTCATAAATTTGACAGTGTGGATAGCACACAGCATACCATACACTATATTTTGTTTGTAATGTAAGACATTAACAAATTAAGGTACATGTGATTATGACCTTAGATAGGTTTTTTTAAGGTGACATTAACATTATAACTTCATATCTATGTTCTCAACTAACTCAACTTTCAAAACCCAACAATGTCTTAAACATGGTCATTAATATATATATATATATATATATATATACATACATGTATTTGATAGTGATACAGCTAACATGCAAAATCATATGGTACCTTTTTGAGGGTATTTATGAAATGACTTAAGGTGGCTAAATTTAATATAAGTTAATTTAATTTAATTTAATTTTCACACATATATATAAACGATTTGTGATATTCCACGTAGATATTTTATTATTGCCAAGTTTATTATTATTATTTTTAAAAAATGAATGTTTAGTTTAACAATTAGTGTCTTAAGAACTCAAAAAAAGTAATGAATTGGAAAATAAAAATAATATTTCATTTGTAGTAAATTTAATTTTTAAGTAAATAATTAATATTTTTAATTTTATGGTATTTTAAATGTTTAATTAAAAAAAATGATGAAATGATTTGAATTTTAAGTGTTTTTTAATCGAATTTGTTGAATTTTTTATTAAATAAAAAATTGTAATTTAAGACATTTTATTAATAAAATTATATTATAATTAATATTAATTTATCACATAATTAATAAAATATATAAAATTTTATTTTAAAAATAATACCGTTTTGATCTTTGTAACTGTTACACGGTCATATCATAGGGTAGTGGTTAAAGTTGAGAACCAAAGCGCGTGATGTCATGTCAAATTTCCACCAGTACGAACACTTTTCGCCACTAGGCTTTAGCTATCGAATGATGAATTTTCATCAAATCCCAATCCGCATCAAACATAGCGTGCTTTCACGCGCTCTAGCTCCTGCAGCGCCAAAAAACTTATCCCGCTGTTCATCAAATCAGTGCCCTGCAAGACACAGCCAAAATGACTCCTTTTTTTCTCAACTCGGAGTCTTGTGCTGTGTGAAATGAAAGCTCTGTTTGTCCTGGGCTTTACTTACACCCTCACAGTATATCTATACACACA